GACTACTTTTATGCACAATGGAAATAATAGTAATTTTAGCACGCCCTGTATGATATGGAGTCAATTTCTTGGTGTTATTTGAATATTTCGAGTTTGTCCAAACTATCATCAAAATATCAACTTCTCATGAATTGAGAGTACTGATGTACTTCATTTCAATTAAGGCTATGTTTTGGACCATATTTAGCACAATATATTTTTTATCTCGAAAACAGATAGAGATAGGTATAGGACATTATCCACAAAAAAGTATTGAAATACCAGAGCGGGGTGTTCTCTTCAAAAAAATAAAGTTGCTAGGACTTTTTGATGGAAGTGGCAACGCCGCAATGCTGAAAATAGTGTAGATCGATAGAACAGGTAAGGAAATGTGAGAGGTGAAATTTTCAGAAAAATCATGCTTTGCGTTTTCCAGAAACGTCTTACCTACCATCGACCGTGAGTTGTGCTGTATGTTTTAACATTCTTGTCTACAATTCAAGTAGCAAACTAGGTAGTATAGGCACGATAATATCTATTCCTGATCTAAGTATTCGTTTATACTGTAAAAACATTTATAAGTATTTCGCCAGGACAGACTTGAATACAAAAGATTTTTTTTTATCATTTTTCATTCCAACTACAGGTTCTATACCTTGAGGAGTCCGAAGCCTGCTAATGATCCTAGTATTTGTCCCACAAAAAAAATCGGTACTTGTATAAGTGGCATGTGGCCGAGCGTAAAGGCAGCAACTGTCACAGCAGGATTAAGATGTGATCCAGAAATATGACCAAATATCTGAAACAAATGGATAGTTCAATATGAGAATATAGGCTTCCCCGGCAGGAATCACGAAACCGTGGTTGAATGGAACTTGAAGCACAAATCTTTTTGTCTGCTACTGCGGCAGACATCATCAGAGGTCTGAACCATGAAACCAATACAACGGCACACTAGGTTGTACTAGTTCAGGATATTTGCGGCTGCTACAGTGGAGAAGGGGTGGGTCCGTAAGTAAACACCCAAATTCAAGCGGAGTCTTCAATGGGTGCCAAGTAAATTATTTTACCTACAAGTATCCCGCTACTGAGATTCCCAACCCCCAATTTACCAAACGCTTGGAATAAATTGCCAGTATAAATTTAAACAGTTCAATACATTTTAAATAAACATTATTCAACTGAATTCATTTCTTCGCATTCCAGGAAGTTAGGCCTTACTAAACTTACGATATTACAAAAAAACAAAGCAAGCGTCATTACAGGTCAAGCACCAGTATCTGTAAGTTGCAAGTAAAACAAATTACCCATCCCGAGTCGAATAACAAACAAAAGTGAAATAATCAAACATAAACTAGCATTCAGCAATATTATCTTATTTGTCCGAACGTTGGAGGAATAAGTATGAATGAAAACAACAACAATGAATAAAAACACCAACAAAACAAAAAAACAACAATACTGTTACCCCATCAATTTTCAAAGTTCCAAGAAAAATGGAACTTTCAGTATTTTGTGATTGAGTCCAGTAATAAGGCGCTATGTTTAATTTGTAATGAAACCATAGCTGCTCTCAAGGACTATAACATCAAACGACACTATGAATCGAAACATCTTCAAAGTTACTCCAAGTATACAGGAAGTTTGCGGAAGGAAAAATTTGAAGCTTTGAAACGCGGACTCAAATCGCAGCAATCTTTGTTTACCAAAGCGAATACTGAACAAGAGTCTGCAACTCGCGCCAGCTTTCGTGTGGCTCTTGAAATCGGAAAACGTGGCAAACCATTCACCGATGGAGAAATGATAAAAGAATGCTTGATTGCAGTAGCCGAAGAAATATGCCCCGAAAAGGTAAATTTATTTAAAAGTGTCAG